CATATCTCTCTGTATAGACCATGTTTACAGTATCGAGAGATCAAATGCCATCTCTCTGTATAGACCCATGTTTACAGTATGGAGAGACCAAATGCCGTATTTCTCTGTATAGACCATGTTTACAGTATGGAGAGATCAAATGCCATATCTCTGTATATAGACACATGTTTACAGTATGGAGAGACCAAATGCCATATCTCTCTATATAGACCCATGTTTACAGTATGGAGAGACCAAATGCCATATCTCTCTGTATAGACCATGTTTACAGTATCGAGAGATCAAATGCCATCTCTCTGTATAGACCCATGTTTACAGTATGGAGAGACCAAATGCCATATCTCTGTATAGAACCATGTTTACAGTATGGAGAGACTAAATGCCATATCTCTCTGTATAGACCATGTTTACAGTATAGAGACTAAATGCCATATCTCTCTGTATAGACCCATGTTTACAGTATGGAGAGACCAAATGCCATATCTCTCTTTATAGACCCATGCTTACAGTATGGAGAGACCAAATGCCGTATCTCTCTATATAGACCCATGTTTACAGTATGGAGAGACCAAATGCCATATCTCTCTTTATAGACCCATGTTTACAGTATGGAGAGACCAAATGCCATATCTCTCTATATAGACCCATGTTTACAGTATGGAGAGACCAAATGCCATATCTCTCTTTATAGACCCATGTTTACAGTATGGAGAGACCAAATGCCATATCTCTCTATTTAGACCATGTTTACAGTATGGAGAGACCAAATGCCATATCTCTCTGTATAGACCCATGTTTACAGTATGGAGAGACCAAATGCCGTATCTCTCTGTATAGACCCATGTTTAAAGTATGGAGAGACCAAATGCCATATCTCTCTGTATAGACCATGTTTACAGTATGGAGAGACCAAATGCAGTATCTCTGTATAGACCCATGTTTACAGTATGGAGAGACCAAATGCCGTATTTCTCTGTATAGACCATGTTTACAGTATGGAGAGACCAAATGCCATATCTCTCTGTATAGACCCATGTTTACAGTATGGAGAGACCAAATGCCATATCTCTCTGTATAGACCCATGTTTACAGTATGGAGAGACCAAATGCCATATCTCTCTATATAGACCCATGTTTACAGTATGGAGAGACCAAATGCCGTATCTCTCTATATAGACCCATGTTTACAGTATGGAGAGACCAAATGCCATATCTCTCTGTATAGACCCATGTTTACAGTATGGAGAGACCAAATGCCATATCTCTCTATATAGACCATGTTTACAGTATGGAGAGACCAAATGCCATATCTCTCTGTATAGACCCATGTTTACAGTATGGAGAGACCAAATGCCATATCTCTCTATATAGACCATGTTTACAGTATGGAGAGACCAAATGCCATATCTCTCTTTATAGACCCATGTTTACAGTATGGATAGACCAAATGCCATATCTCTCTATATAGACCATGTTTACAGTATGGAGAGACCAAATGCCATATCTCTCTGTATAGACCCATGTTTACAGTATGGAGAGACCAAATGCCGTATCTCTCTGTATAGACCCATGTTTAAAGTATGGAGAGACCAAATGCCATATCTCTCTGTATAGACCATGTTTACAGTATGGAGAGACCAAATGCAGTATCTCTGTATAGACCCATGTTTACAGTATGGAGAGACCAAATGCCGTATTTCTCTGTATAGACCATGTTTACAGTATGGAGAGACCAAATGCCATATCTCTGTATATAGACCCATGTTTACAGTATGGAGAGACCAAATGCCATATCTCTGTATATAGACCCATGTTTACAGTATGGAGAGACCAAATGCCATATCTCTCTGTATAGACCATGTTTACAGTATCGAGAGATCAAATGCCATCTCTCTGTATAGACCCATGTTTACAGTATGGAGAGACCAAATGCCATATCTCTGTATAGAACCATGTTTACAGTATGGAGAGACCAAATGCCATATCTCTCTGTATAGACCATGTTTACAGTATAGAGACTAAATGCCATATCTCTCTGTATAGACCCATGTTTACAGTATGGAGAGACCAAATGCCATATCTCTGTATAGACCCATGCTTACAGTATGGAGAGACCAAATGCCGTATCTCTCTATATAGACCCATGTTTACAGTATGGAGAGACCAAATGCCATATCTCTCTTTATAGACCCATGTTTACAGTATGGAGAGACCAAATGCCATATCTCTCTATATAGACCCATGTTTACAGTATGGAGAGACCAAATGCCATATCTCTCTTTATAGACCCATGTTTACAGTATGGAGAGACCAAATGCCATATCTCTCTATATAGACCATGTTTACAGTATGGAGAGACCAAATGCCATATCTCTCTGTATAGACCCATGTTTACAGTATGGAGAGACCAAATGCCGTATCTCTCTGTATAGACCCATGTTTAAGTATGGAGAGACCAAATGCCATATCTCTCTGTATAAACCATGTTTACAGTATGGAGAGACCAAATGCAGTATCTCTGTATAGACCCATGTTTACAGTATGGAGAGACCAAATGCCGTATTTCTCTGTATAGACCATGTTTACAGTATGGAGAGACCAAATGCCATATCTCTCTATATAGACCATGTTTACAGTATGGAGAGACCAAATGCCATATCTCTCTGTATAGACCCATGTTTACAGTATGGAGAGACCAAATGCCATATCTCTCTATATAGACCATGTTTACAGTATGGAGAGACCAAATGCCATATCTCTCTGTATAGACATGTTTACAGTATGGAGAGACCAACTGCCATATCTCTCTGTATAGACCCATGTTTACAGTATGGAGAGACCAAATGCCATATCTCTCTGTATAAACCCATGTTTACAGTATGGAGAGACCAAATGCCATATCTCTCTATATAGACCCATGTTTATTGTATAGAGACCAAATGCCGTATCTGTGTATAGACCCATGTTTACAGTATGGAGAGACCAAATGCCATATCTCTCTGTATAGACCCATGTTTACAGTATGGAGAGACCAAATGCCGTATCTCTCTATATAGACCCATGTTTACAGTATGGAGAGACCAAATGCCGTATCTCTCTATATAGACCCATGTTTACAGTATGGAGAGACCAAATGCCATATCTCTCTATATAGACCCATGTTTACAGTATGGAGAGACCAAATGCCGTATCTCTCTATATAGACCCATGTTTACAGTATGGAGAGACCAAATGCCGTATATCTCTGTATAGACCCATGTTTACAATATGGAGAGACCAAATGCCGTATCTAAAGTTGCATTAATTAAATATAGTTTAAATAACTTAGCAGGAGCACCTGATCTTTATGGTTAGTTTTCAACATGTGTTTGGCGTTTATATAAACAGTGTGTTCAGTCTCAGTCTCAATTACTTGTGATTCATGTTACATGTTGAGAAAACCATAAGACCTAGTGGTTACAAGACAAATGGAAAAAACTCTTGACCCAATAGTTACATGTCAAAAGGAAAAACTCTTGACCCAATAGTTACGTGTCAAAAGGAAAAACTCTTGACCCAATAGTTACATGTCAAATGGAAAAAAACTCTTGACCAAGTGGTTACAAGTTAATTGGGAAAAACTCTTGACATAGTGGCTACATCATGTCAAATATTAAACAGGCTTGAGCTAGTAGTTACAAGAAAAAAAAACCTAGACAAAGAAAAATAATGCGCAATCGGAAACATAGGCCTACGCAACGAAAAGTCCCGAAACAGAAAAATGCTCAAATACACACTAATTATAATAATATACTTTAGTTGTGTCATATTTCGTGAAAATATGTTTTTTTTCTTTTACATTGTACATGCAGTCAATGGACCTCTAGATAAATGTTTTTCTACCATCATTATATTAGGGTTTCGGTGATTCAGTCTCAGGGTTTAGGCGGAAGTTTAGAAAAAAACAACCCTACTCATATTCACGATCGAATTTCGTCAACGATAAAATTGTTAAGAAGTGTTTGGTACGTATGTGTGCAGTACAACTGGTGCGGTTCGGTACCTCCAAACACTGGCGGGGTTCGGTACCTCCAAACACTGGTGCGGTTCGGTACCTCCAAATACTGATGGGGTTCGGTACCTCCAAACACTGATGGGGTTCGGTACCTCCAAACACTGGTGCGGTTCGGTACCTCCAAATACTGATGGGGTTCGGTACCTCCAAACACTGGTGCGGTTCGGTACCTCCAAATACTGATGGGGTTCGGTACCTCCAAATACTGATGGGGTTCGGTACCTCCGAAAGCTGGTGGGGTTCGGTACCTCAAAAAACTGGTGGGGTTCGGTACATCCAAATACTGGTTGGGATCGGTACCTCCAAAAACCTATATCTTAGAAGGCAGGAAAGGAATTCAAAACTTTTATGAAAATCAATACATAATATTATAATTAATATATAACGTAACAATAATAGCAACCCACTTCATTACGGTAGTTTATAAATTTAATTAAAATTGTGATGGATAAGCCACACTCAACATATTTGATTTGTTGTAACATAACACATTAATTTCTATAGATACTGTCCTGTTGATGAAATGCTAGTGAAAAACATGTTACTTGGTACTCAAAAGTACACACAGCCAGTAAATAACCTTTACAGCTAAACACTAAGGTCAGTCACGTGACCTTCTAAATATACATTGCCTGGTAGTAAAAAAAGGGGGCAAGTGTTTACAGCTATTTAGGGCAAGTTATTCAACATTACAAAAATGCTTTGCTATTTTAGCTTGTTATAAAAAATTGCAGGGAATTACCGACACCAATCAAGCTAATAGTTCAACACAGCGGCGTTGGTCGCTGGTGTGGATGGGTGGGGGGGGGGGGGGAGGCTACAACCCCTTCATGCCACTGATAACCTTTTTAAACCTCGTCCTACCTCAAAGAAAAGTTATCAAGTTATGGCAACACCACTGGCATGGAAGTGAGTATAAATATGGTGGCTTTAGCCTTTGTAGAGTACACTCTCATAAGCATTTGTAACAAGGCGTATATATGCTTTCATGTTTTGTGTTTCAGATATTTTATGTAACATATATATATATATATTTATATATATATATATATACTTATATATATATATATATATATATATATATATATATATATATATATATATATATATATATATATATATATATATATATATATATATATATATATATATATATATATATTGTTTTGTTTAAGCGTTAGTATAAACATTTCCATAGGGACCAAGAATGAAGTATCTCCTGTTTATGACTGTTTCTCTGTTTGCGGCCCATGTCGCCGCTCACGAAGGATGCCTTCACGAAGGAGTGGTGAGATTATCTTTTCGCACTTGTATCTCTTATTAAAAACTACGTCAATTTATACCCATTCCTCTACAATAAGTTAAAGATAATTTAGATAAATTAAAAAAAAATACATTGCCTATCGTCATTGAAGTCATTTAGAAGTCCTACATTAATAATAAAATATGTTCTCCCTCCCCACCTCTATGTAATCCTAGAAATTTTTCAAACTGTAATTGACAAGTTTTTGCTAATGTTTTTGCTAAACAGCAATTTAGTTTTATTTTAAACGAGCAACTTCACATTTCTATTGCTATTATTAAATATAACACATGAACAAGTTTTACTTTAATATATGAGTTGTTTTTTTGTTTTTGATATAAATTTTAGTAGTTAATTATATAACAAATATACTATGTGTAAAATAATTACCCAGTACCATTTGGATTTATAAAACAATGTGAAGTTCATGTTATAAAATAGAGCAACGACAACTGTGGAAATTAAAAGGCCTATAATCTCTCCCTCTGCCCGTTCTCCCCCCCCCTCTCTCTCCGTCTCCCCCTCTCTCCGTCTCACCCGTCTCTCTCCGTCTCCCCCTCTCTCCCCTCTCTCCCCTCTCCCCGACTCCCCCCTCTCTCCGTGTCTCTCCGTCTCCCCCTCTCTCCGTGTCTCTCCGTCTCCCCCTCTCTCCCTGTCTCTCCGTCTCCCCTTCTCTCCCTGTCTCTCCGTCTCCCCCTCTCTCCCTGTCTCTCCCTGTGTCCCCGTGTCCCCTCTCTCCCTGTGTCAACCCTCTCTCCCCCTCTCTCACTGTCTCTCCGTCTCCCTCTCTCTCCCTATTTCTCCCTGTGTCCCCGTCTCCCCTCTCTCTCCCTGTGTCCCCCCTCTCTCCCCCTCTCTACCTGTCTCTCCCTGTCTCTCCCTGTCTCTCCGTCTCCACCTCTCTCCCTGTCTCTCCGTCTCCCCCTCTCTCCTTGTCTCTCCCTGTTTCTCCCTGTCTCTCTGTCTCCCCCTCTCTCCCCCTCTCTCCCTGTCTCTCCCTGTCTCTCCGTCTCCCCTCTCTCTCCCTGTGTCCCCGTCTCCCCTCTCTCCCCTGTCTCTTCGTCTCTCCCTCTCCCCCTCTCTCCCTGTCTATCCGTCCCCCCTATCTCCCTGTGTCCCCCCTCTCTCTCTGTCTCTCCCTCTCAGGAATACAACCTAGGCGACAGATTCTCCATAGACTGTAACCAATGCATGTGCCGACCTAGGCGACAGATTCTCCATAGACTGTAACCAATGCATGTGCCGACTACCTGGTATTGCGTGTACCCGCAAGGAATGTCCAGGGAATCCACAGGGCTGTTACCACGACGGGAAGGTATGTATCTTTTTATTTGTCTATAATACCATATATATATATATATATATATATATATATATATATATATATAATTATTAGTGGATGGAGGAGGGGTTGGGGAGGGGGAAGGTGTGGTTGTCGAAAAATGACATAAAACAATGACATTTCGTTCAAACTGTTGTTAAATATATTGACCTGCTTATGTCAAAATCGTGGTTAATTCCAGATGAAATATTTTTAGGATTTCTCACTCTGTTTAATATTACCTTGCATCTGGCCATTTTTTGACCTGTTGAGAGATTTCTTGTCAATTCTGTCTTAATTGTGGCACAATAGAGCAGGTAAACTATTGCAACGAGCTGACCCGCGACGTAAAATACGCTGCTATTTAGTTGTTTTATTAACACGTTTTTTTATTAACACGTTTTTCTTAACTCAGCTTCGCGTTTGTTTGTTTGGTTGTTTGGTTGTTTGGATGTTTGTTGTTAAAATTGACATCGAAAATTAGCCCACTTCTGATTGCTCTAGAGACCTGAAATTTGGCATGCATGCTACTTTCGCCTAACAATTTCAGATGCAATCATAAAAACTAGCAATTAGTGACCGTAATTAGCTTAATTTAATTACGCCCCAAGGACCATAAAATTGAGGACATGATTTCTAAAGATACCGACAAGACTTGAGGCCTATTGACACAGTTACTTCGGCCCCAATCGATGTGAGCGCGCTGGCCGTGATCGTATAGTGGTTAGTACTTCGCGTTGCGGCCGCGACAACCCAGGTTCGAATCGTGGTCGCTCAAGATTTTTAGTCCGTGTATTTATAAACACTTTTTTAAAAACCACGTTTTTCATGTGTAGCAACGGACTAAAAAGGAGAAAATAAAATACTTAAAATTTAAAAAAAAAAAAACCACGTTTTTTATGTGTAGCAACGGACTAAAAAGGAGAACGGACACGGTAACACATTGTTAACGGTGACACGGTTGGTACGCTGGGCATGCTAAAATACACATAAACACGTTTTTCCTTAACTCAGCTTCGCGTTTATTTGTTTGTTTATGGGAGATTTGATCACGTGATTCGTGAGTAGATCTCGACGCCAGCAACGTAAATTACACCCTTTCTCTGTTTAAAGCGTATCGGTCGCTCAAGATTTTTTTAGTCCGTGTATTTAAAAACACTTAGTCAAGTCATACTTAATCAAGTGATTAGATAAAGTAGAAAATAAACTATATAAAAAACTTTTTAAAAACCACGTTTTTCATGTGTAGCAACGGACTAAAAAGGAGAAAATAAAATACTTAAAAAAAACTTTTTAAAAAACCACGTTTTTCTTGTGGACTAAAAAGTAGAAAATAACTATTTACATACATTTGATGACAAAAAACGTGGGTCGGGCAGATGGGTCGGGAAATTTGATGGTGAACGTACCCACGTTTTTTGTCATCAAATGTATGTAAATAGTTATTTTCTACTTTTTAGTCCACAAGAAAAACGTGGTTTTTTAAAAAGTTTTTTTTAAGTATTTTATTTTTTATTTATCATTAATTTATAATTTGTGTATAGCTGCGACAGAAAATGTTTTGCTTTAAAACACTATCAATAGCTAGTGGAGGACGATTATCCTCACATTCACCTTCCAATTCCCCCCCCCCCCCCTCGCGCAAGCAGCCGTCCGTGGCGACAGTTTACAGACAACAATGAAAAGATCAAGCAGAACATGTTTTTACCTCCCTTTTGTTTCAAAACTAAATTATCTGCCCCTAATAGCAGTCACCAATTCGACCCGGCTCTATGATTGTAAACAGCTCATCAGACTGGTGGTGGTGGTAGCAATATGGTCTGCGAGAGCGAGGGAGGGGGGAGGGTCGGCGTGCTTACGTGGTGGTGTCTTGCATGCTCACTCCATGAAGAGAATTATATATATATATATATATATATATATATATATATATATATATATATATATATATATATATATATATATATATATATATATATATATAATATTAAATTAAGAATTGAAATACAATAGCAACGTTGGATTATTTTGTTTCTGCAATTTCCATACAATATCAAAATATATTTAAAAACAAATTAAAACAATTTGATTGATCAACCAGATTCTAAAAACAAAATGCCAATTGACCAGACATCTAAGCCACACAGCTATAGCTGATCATTAAAGTGAAGCCAGTGTATTCTTCTATTACCTCATGTCGTGTATTCTAATGAATTTAGACTAATTTGGGAAATATGAATATCCAATTCAACATTTTTAATATCTTGGGTTTAAAACAGTAGCAGACACTAAACAAACTTTTAGTGGAAGATACGTATCTGAGTAATCTCTTATCTAGATATACCACATTCTGTTTTAATTATAAAAAATACAAGGCATACTGCCTAGATTCGCTTAGGTTTGAAAAAAAAAGAGAAATTGAATGATTAATTGATAGGTGATTGGCTGTTATGTTAAATGCTTAGGGCCTGAATTTATACAGTTGAGTAATTTCGTATCATTCAAACTTTGATGGAATATTCGCATAGTTATTACTCGCAAGGTTATTAGAACTGCAAGGGCTTTTTAAATAGTATATCACAAATTATTATATTAAATTACTTTTGTAATTAATGTTTACAATTTCAGTACAATACAAAACGTAATTTATAACAAAATTTCTATTTAAAAGAATGCTATAATATATGATTTTTGTTTTTTCTTATAAATAGTATATAAAATATTTAAAAATTATTACATTAAAAAGCAACCTCCCCTGTTCATAGACCAAATGACAGTCTTACATTACTAATTTCACAAACAATTGTTGATATAGGGAAAATACGCCGTATGTACAAATCAAACGTTTCTAAGGGTTTTATAATAATAATGTTTTTTGTTACCCTTCAGGGTCGGTCTAGGACATCACAAAATATTAGGGGATCGTTCGTCAATTTATTTATATATATCTCGTATAATGAGAATTTTACTCGCGGTCATGTTTTAGCCCTCGTCGAGGGCTTTGAGTCAAACCGACAGTTTTCCCTAAAGATCAAGCCATTTACCTAGGAGCATGCAAAAAATTAGCTAGATATACTGAGTTTAAGTACCCAAAAATCCGCGTTGAAATGACCCTCTGTTTTTCCCATAAAATACAAAGATTATATAGGGAAATACGGCTGGTCAGTTCTGACCCATTTCCAGATTTTTCCCGGACATGGCGAGTTTTTTGTGACACCCTTAAGCGATCTCCTACCACCTCATAAGATATCAAGGGGGGTCGATCGGCAAAAGGTTTTTTTCGTAATATAGCCCATATAAGGCTCAGGTCAGTCGAGGTCAGTTTTGACCCCCTTTCCGTGGACGTTTCGGCCAACCGTCACTGGCCCTCGTGTTCTATCGCCCCAAGGCATCATCGTGCCAAATTTGACGCGCCTGCGGCGCCGGGAAGTGCCCTATCGGGCACCCAACCACTTTGCTTTACATGTATAGATCCTTTCTGTTGTGAGGTAATGTGTATGAAAGGTGTATACGTGGGACGTATCACTGCGTGTGTATGTATTCAGTAGCGAGACGCGAGGTCGGGAGTGTTGACGTGTATTGTGTACGGAGTGAACGAGGGTAGAAGGTAAGCGACTGGTCGAGTTGGTTGTATTGTGAGCGAGAGAAAACAGGTGTGTAGGATTGAATGCGGAGGAAAGTTGAAGGTTGAGGTGAAATTAGACAGGTTGATGTGGAACTGGAAAGGTGATTGTGGAAAATAAAAGAGACGACTGTTATACCTAACATTATTGTGTTGTTAGTGTATTCTATGAGATTTCTGAAGCCCTCACACTTTCACCCTTTTTTGATAGTTCTATCGGCTCGGAGATTTGATGCCTTCACCTGATTGCAACAGCTGTTTCTGTGACGGCAGAGCTCGGGACTGTGGTAGGAGGGTGTGTCCAAGAGATGACGTAAGTAAAATGTTTTCGTCATTTGGTCATGCCTTAAAATTTTAAACAGTTTCATTACCTTAAGTTTACATTAAAACTATCTCCCATGACATGTGTTTATTAGCTCAAGTTTAAATAAAATTATCTCCCATGACGTTTCTTCATTACCTCAAGTTTATATTAGGATGATTTCCCATGTAATGTATTCGCACTGCTAGTCGTTTTCATATTTCTCTTCATTATGAACAGGAAAACTAGACAGGACACGATGTCGCTTAGCTCCTCTTTACCTCGTGTCTCGGATAACAAGCGCTGCTACTGAACAGAAAAAAAATGTAAAATAATTCAATTACATCACGTGTCTAAATAGAATTGTTTTATTTGGAAAATATTTGTTATTTCGATTTCTGTCAAACATTGATATTTTTAAAATAAAATTTCCATTGTAAGTAATAAACAATATATATATATATATATATATATATATATATATATATATATATATATATATATATATATATATATATATATATATATTTATATATATATATATATATATATATATATATATATATAGGCCTATATATAATTATATATATATACTTTTTGTGTAAAATATAAGACCTAATGTGCTCAATCAGATTACCTGTATACCTTAAGTAGTTAGGTATTGTCTTAGTGGGGATAGGGTATCATGGTCACCGATTAAGGTTTAGTGCTTTTAGCGGCTGCCACTGTGAGACAACACAAAAACTCTACATATACCCGTGATCTTACATTACGACGACTATGAATGTAGTTGAGGTATAGAATGTGACGTATACCCCTAAATAAAGGAAACACTAGGATGCACCTGCCAAAGTTACACTAAAATATTACAACCTATAACAAATACTTGCATAGACCTTGTAAGCAAAACACATCAGGCCAACAATCACATTGTAACAAGCCAGTATCAAAATAGATTTACATGACTAGATATATATCAGAAGGACTCTTAAAGTGTATATATAGTAAATAAATGAAGAAAGTAAAATGGCATAAAGCTTAATTAAAACAATGATTAGGGGGAGCAACTCTATTAGTTTCGTTCACTGTTCCCCACTCTCAGCTGTGAAGCCAAAAGTTCACACTGTTGCGACCCATGGCCAGAAATAAAAAAAACACTCGCGAGAAATTGGTTGCTGTTATGCTGATCTATCGTTCCATGTTTCCTAAATTTTCCATGTCCCAAAGTTGGCCCAAGGCGATGTGACAAAAAGTTGGTTGCTGTTATGCTGATCTATCGTTCCATGTTTCCTAAATTTTCCATGTCCCAAAGTTGGCCCAAGGCGATGTGACAAAAAATTGGTTGCTGTTATGCTGATCTATCGTTCCATGTTTCCTAAATTTTCCATGTCCCAAAGTTGGCCCAAGGCGATGTGACAAAAAATTGGTTGCTGTTATGCTGATCTATCGTTCCATGTTTCCTAAATTTTCCATGTCCCAAAGTTGGCCCAAGGCGATGTGACAAAAAGTTGGTTGCTGTTATGCTGATCTATCGTTCCATGTTTCCTAAATTTTCCATGTCCCAAAGTTGGCCCAAGGCGATGTGACAAAAAATTGGTTGCTGTTATGCTGATCTATCGTTCCATGTTTCCTAAATTTTCCATGTCCCAAAGTTGGCCCAAGGCGATGTGACAAAAAGTTGGTTGCTGTTATGCTGATCTATCGTTCCATGTTTCCTAAATTTTCCATGTCCCAAAGTTGGCCCAAGGCGATGTGACAAAAAATTGGTTGCTGTTATGCTGATCTATCGTTCCATGTTTCCTAAATTTTCCATGTCCCAAAGTTGGCCCAAGGCGATGTGACAAAAAGTTGGTTGCTGTTATGCTGATCTATCGTTCCATGTTTCCTAAATTTTCCATGTCCCAAAGTTGGCCCAAGGCGATGTGACAAAAAATTGGTTGCTGTTATGCTGATCTATCGTTCCATGTTTCCTAAATTTTCCATGTCCCAAAGTTGGCCCAAGGCGATGTGACAAAAAGTTGGTTGCTGTTATGCTGATCTATCGTTCCATGTTTCCTAAATTTTCCATGTCCCAAAGTTGGCCCAAGGCGATGTGACAAAAAATTGGTTGCTGTTATGCTGATCTATCGTTCCATGTTTCCTAAATTTTCCATGTCCCAAAGTTGGCCCAAGGCGATGTGACTAAGCTGGGTTAGAACAATCAATTTTTATACTTTATATCCCTTTAGGGATCAAGAAATATATGAAAAAGAAGTGATGTAGATATTCAATTTTAAATAAGAATTATAAATTGTGTGCACTAATCTTATAATTGAGCTAATGTGTTAATACTTTCAAACAACATAAGGTGTTAGGTAATCAATAATTCAAATTCATCATTTTGATAGATTATACATAGACTATAAATGACTAACTATATACATATGTAGTTAAATGAAAGTACAGCACTTAATAGTGTTTTATAAAATTCATTTTATTTCTGCTTGGTCAATTTAACTACTTTGTATAAGTTATATCCTTTGACTGTAATTGTTTCTTTATGATTAATAGAAGGGAGATAAATCCTTGCATAATTCTACGTTTATATAAAACTAGCCTTCGGTACCCGTTTCACGTGAATTATAGACCTATATATTTTTAATGTTATAATATTTGGAAATAACAAGTTATAAAATAGTTATTGATCAAAATGCAACAATACACGTTGATATATTATTGACAAAATAAAGAAATAACTAAAATAGCAAAAAATCCGGCACATTTTAATAAACAAAGGCTACCAATATCCTAATCCTAAATCCAGCACATTTAAATAAACAAAGGCTACCAATATCCTAATCCTAAATCCAGCACATTTTAATAAACAAAGGCTACCAATATCCTAATCCTAAATCCAGCACATTTAAATAAACAAAAAAGCTACCAATATCCTAATATTTTATAAAATAGTTATTATGTTGTTTTTTTTTTTTTAAAGTAATTTGTATTAGTTTGACCGATAATTTTTTTTTTTAAATTTCATAGCGTATGTCTTGATAAGTAGATCTATATATCTAGATCAAATCTGACTGAAATAGTTACTTTCTTTATATTCTAAAATCGGAAGATTAACATATAAAAACAAATTGAAAAATAAATCAATTTGAGTTTTTGTTTCTAGAACCTGTACCCAGGGGCGGAACTACCATACCGCCAGACCCCGCAATGCGGGGGGGCCCAGGACGTTTAGGGGCCCTGTTCCGACCAAAAAACAATGAATTTTTTTTACAGGAATTATGTTTTTCATGCGTTTTGAAAGAGGTTTTGTAAAAAAAAAAAACAGCAGGTCTACTATAGCAGAGATTGTTGCGTAGAAAAATATTTTAAAATCTACAAGAGCTATAGTTTGAAAGGTAGGTAAACATTCACACTACTTCCATGACTTACTGCCCTTCTTTAAAATAGGGATGCCCACGAAGCTTATTTAAATAGTTTTGTACTATGTATATAAAAAAGCAATTGATTCTCTGAATTGTTACTTAAATAAAACGTACTATACAATAGTATAGCTATAAAAATCAATGTTTTCAAAATTGATATTATAAAAGCCAAAAATGAAAAAAATAAACATAACGCGAGAAACCATTCACGAATCAAGCTTACGTCTTTATATATTTTTGACCAGCATGTGTATGTTATATCTGTATCTCAAGATGAGTTTGGACTAAATTTTTCTGGTTTGTTCTCTCAGAATGGTTATCGATTGCAATGAAGTAGACTAAATTACTCAGGATATAGATTGTATGTATATATATATATATATATATATATATATATATATATATATATACATATATACATATATACATACATACATATATATATATATATATATATATATATATATATATATATATATATATATATATATATATATATATATATATATATATATAAGGGGCCCTAATTTTTTCTTTGCGGGGGAGCCTTTTTTTTTCTAGTTCCGCCACTGCCTGTACCACCCGCATGGTATCAAGTACACTATCATCTCAGCTATTTAGGCACCTTATAATTGATGAAGAATAAAAAGCGTATTAAAGAAATTTAACTAATAGGCCTATTCTTTCAAAAAAATTATCTCAAATTAGCCAATTCCATAGCTAAACAAACAAAAATGTCTATAAAATAATAAAATTTATTATTGGAATATAATTTAGAGTCTAAATCTAGAATCTAGATCTAGATCTAGAATCTAATTTAGATTTTAGGGTCAACGTCTAGTTTTTGCGTAGATCTAGATCTAGTCTAGATCTAGATCTAGTCTAGATCTAGAATCTCTAGATCTAGACTCCAAATAGATAAAGTAAATTTTATACGTTTAGGCCGAGAAAATTGTATTGTATAGATCACGGGTTCCCAAACTTGGGGTCGCGACCTTGGGGTCGCGAAGGGCTTTCTTTGGGGTCGCCAACTGGTATACTAAACCCTAGTAATGTGAAACAAAACATAAAATATTTAGAAGTTTGAAATTCTGCTTTACTAACATCACTGGAAATGGAATAAAGAAGAAGCAATGCGTACTGTATACATTTTTTCTCAGTCATGAGTTAATGAAATCTTCAAAACTAGAACGACATTTGAGACATTCGGAACACACCAAAAAAGATATAGAGTTCTTTTTTCGGCATGAAGCTTGTTGCAAACGTCAGAGACTTGATCGAACAGGAAGTTTTCACCAAGGAAACACAGTTTTAGTACAATTATTAAATGAAGTCGCGATACAGAATGCCAAGCAAAAAAAAAAAAAAATCAACAGAAAAAAGTCTCATTAAACGCTGCATGTTAAAGATGGTGAAGTTAACTTTTGGGGATTCTAGTGCAGTAAACATTCAACAAATATCTCTCCCTAATAATACTATTCAGCGGTTTATAGCAGACATGTCCGTAGATGTTAAAAATACGAATTTCTAATGAAATCAAGCTTTTACCATTGTTTGCTTTTCAAGTTGATGAATCAACAGTCGTGAGTTCGTTTTAGCAGTTGCTGGTCTTTGTCTATATTCATTCAGATGATAGCAAAGAAGAGTTTCTATTTTGTGAAGATAGCATGGAGAAAATAAATACGTTTTTTGAAACTCGATGTATAAAATATGTTGAAACGGCTGTGAAATTGTTCTTAGAAGCGTGGTTGGAGAGAGTATCATACCTAGCAGATTTTTTCGAACATCAACATAAGCTTAACCTGAATCTTCAAGGAAAATGAATGAATATTATCACTTTCCATGATAATCTCGGGTCATTTTTATTAAAGCCGCAAAATCGCCGAAGAAAATAAATCTTGGAAATATTGCCATGTTTGAGAAACTCTGCACTGTGGCATAAATTAATTATCTCATTAGATAAGTGTATTTTTCAAATTTTGACTAACTCCTAAACGATTAATATATACCACGTGTAGGCTGGAATCTATAACATTTAGTAAACTTTTATTTTTCAAAAACTAAAAATCATTACATAAACACGCATTATTGACATTTTACAATTCTAACTCTAGACATTCCAGCTTAAAAGAGGGGAAGGGGTGGGGGGAAGGGGACCATGTCGTAAAAGTAGACTAGTAGACTTAGGAACAATACTGGAGTTGAAGGAATTAGTACAAACTTTCGCGACGAAGGAGGCAAGTAAAATTAGATTTTGATTTTGCAGTCTACTTGTAACCTTTATGCAATTGATAATAAATTAACAGTTCAATTAAAACTAAGTGTTTTCTTATACACATGTTTTTGTAATTAATGTGTGTGAAAGAGGATGTTTTAATAAGTTTTGCCTAGGGCGCTAAATAACCTGGCCCCGGCACTACATAAGGCACATCTAATCACAATCTTTCTAGCCCGCAATATGCGGTAATAGTAATTATGCGAACAATAACTATGCCTGTTTGAGTCTTCAACTTATTAAGACTGGCATAATAATGACACACGATACAACACTAATGACATGCAAAAATATACTGCAGACATTATCTCACAATAAAACAAATACTGCATAATAAAGGTATACCAATAGCTGTTAGCAACCGACAACACACATTGTCATAACATACACACAATAAATGATTGGCGTTAGCTTCATTAAGAATATTCTCCCTAATATCTTTCACAATATAACGAGCATCTTAACCTTGTACTGCCGTCCTGTAGTGTCAGAAACTACCCAAATCCCAGAGGTCACAAGACATGGGACAAGTGGTAACCATCGCTCCCAAGAGCACAGCGTTACATTACAAACTCCGATCAATAGGAACAGCGACCCAATAAGATTCGGATTACACTTATTCCAAAAGTTTCGAGTTCGAAGCCCGGGAAGACGAGGCTGGTTAGCTGAGGACGGCAACCCATGTACAAGAGAAAAATGTATTTAAAAATGCTGCCTTTTAGTTTTTTTTAATGAAAAAATGCTATGGAAGCAATTCCAGAAAAAAAATTCTAAGGTCATAATGCGTATAACGAAGAAGAATATTGAGTGTAAAATAGCAAATAGCAAATAGCCGATTTCAAACTTGTGTTTCAATGTATTTCATGTCCTAAACAGCTTCTTAATGAGTACAGGTGGAATAATTTACAGCGATTATGATGCAATAGATGCACAAATAATCTATTCCTGCAAATTTCTGCCTCGATTTGGAAGTAACAAGCAATAAAAGAGGTTTTACGTCCAGATTACTTCAAGCAAAATTAACCATCTTATACTAATAATACACCAGTATACTTTTCGTAAAAGGTTTCGGGGATTAAGCCCCAATCCGCCCAATAAATCTTACTAGTAATGGAGCATAATACGTAATTTTTAGGAACCACCATCATTACAAAAAATACTAGTGAAGAACATGCCACCTCGTCTAGTTTGATGTAAATAATTACCTTGTAAATTAATGTTACCTTTACTTAATGAGCATCACGATCTGTCACCATCTGGGACTAGATAATTACTTAATTGGAAAATACGAATTGGGCATAATTAGTTGTAATTAAACATACGAGACCAAACTATCCTCTTGTATCTGACATTTTAACACAAGCCTCGTTTATTTAGTCTGGTGCGAAAATTGCTTAGCCTGGTGCGAAAATTGCTAAAAATTAACGATGCCAATGTAACAGGTTGGAGTGTGTATAAAACTTGGGGTTTTCACCTTGGTCGAACACATCTACATCAGATTTCGCAACAGGGTGCATATATATATAATATATATATATATATATATATATATATATATATATATATATATATATATATATATATATATATATATATATATATATATATATATATGTATATATATATATATATTAGTCTCTAAAACTATTTTTAAATTGTTTACATTTTTAAAAATCTCATTTTTTATATATTACTAATACAATTCCGTGACAGAGCAAGAATGACGTGCCTGCTGTTTATTACTTTGGCCCTGTATGTTGCCTATGCCGCTGGCCAGACATGCATTCATGAAGGAGTGGTAAGCATTTTTTAAAGTTTCTATAAAAGAGGCATCAGCGCAAGCCAAATATTGTTTTCATTTATTCACATCAGGTTCGTTAGTATTACTTGATGCAAATCAATATCTGCCACTTATAACAAAGTTTTGTCAAACAAAACTTAAATAGTGTAAGTTAATAAATTAAATAAATTAAATTATTTGATATATGCATATGCGACTTTTTTTTAAACAAAATTATTTTTTCAGCATATATATATATATATATAATCAATTGAATAGTTAAAATAACATTTCGAGTAATTTGGTTTTATTAAATACTTGTGACTCCCGAAAATACGAAACTGTTATTAGAAGTTTATCTTGTTTAAAATAATGAATATTAAGATGACTAAATACAGTACTAACCCTGTGAGTTGTGGCTGAATACATTTTATTTCCCATGTCAGGAATACAACCAAGGTGACAGGGTGCCAGTAGACAGCTGTAACACCTGTATCTGCAGTGGACCTGGGATTATGTGCACCTTAATGGCATGTCCAGAACATCAGCCTGGCTGCTACTTGGATGGGACGGTATGTACATAGCCCTCATTCTAATAGCCCGGTTTGTACATAGCCAGGTATATAGATAACCCTCATTCTCATAGCCCAGTATATACATAACAATCATTCTCATAGCCTGTCTCTCATGTGAAAGTCCGTAAATGTCCCTAGGTGGGGGGAGGGGCTCAGCGTTTTAATATGGCGTGTGAGAAGAGACATGACTCAGTATTTTGAAATATACTTTATAGGGCCTTTAAATAATTATTTTAAAAAATGATCACTAGTGAAGGGAACAGATGCAACTTTTATATGGATACACATTCTCTTCAAAACTGTCTTCGAGGCAGACTTAAAAGATGCGGCCTTCTTTAATCTATGGTTGGCAAAAGTATATAATGATTCTGAATCATGTTTTCCCGTTCGTGCCCAAGATACACGAAGCGGATGAAATAAAATTAATCTGTTTCAAAGACCTCGGTATATTATAGTGTTGTCGGCACTATGCCCAGACGCCTTTTAGTTCCCTAACGTGAGTTAGGTATCCATCAGAGCTGGACTTGAACGCGGATTGGAACTCGAGGCTTTCGTGTTAGCAATCGAACTTCAACCGCTAGGCCGCACCGTCCCTATATAACAATTAAACATCATATTTTATGATTTACATGTTCTAAATCAGGGGTCTCCAAACTACGGCCCGCGGGCCGGATGCGGCCCGCGAGGTCCTCTCATCCGGCCCGCTAAGATCATTTTGTCCACGGAAAAAAAGGATTGTTGGGGGTGGCTGAGGAACTATGCCCAGAAAATTTAAAACAATTGCCCGCCATGTTACAGAAATTGGTGAAAACTGTGTAACTCAAATCGCGAAAAATGCAAGAAAGTTTCGCCATGCTTCAATTGCAATGGATGAGTCGCTGGACAGCTGTTCCGCCTCTCAACTGCTTGTGTTCATTAGAGGTGTGGAAGAATACATGAACATAACACAAGAGCTGGCTTCCCTACAAAACATGTATTACACTGTTACCGGAGAGGATATTCAATTAGTAAAAAAAAAACATTTGCTGATTATAACTTGGACTAAACTACCCTTAGTTACCTGGCAATTCATGGATGAAAGAACATGTGGCATAAAGAAAGGCTTGGTTGGACAAGCAAATGAGAAAAACATTCTACACATTAAATTTGTATATATTTCTATTAGTTCATTGGAGGTTGGGGGTAGACGTTCTTCGGGGAAAGTGTGGGCGGGGGGGGGGGGGGGGTCCCCCAAAGTGATGCCTGAAAGAAACTGGCCCCCGAACTGATATTTGATAGTTAATGCGGCCCTCGGGCTGAAAAGTTTGGAGACCCCTGTTCTAAATTATAAAACCACCCCCCCCCCCACTTGTGTTTGACAGTTCTACCAAACGGGAGATTCTATGCCTTCACCTGATTGTAACAGATGTTTCTGTGCTGGCACAGTTCGTGCGTGTACTAGGATGGCGTGTCCAGAAAATGTTGTGAGTCAAAGCTCTAAACGTTGTTCAGCGTTAGCCCTTTGTCTGTAATCAGTAGTCTGCGGGTAGTTATCTGTTGGTTATGGGCAGTAATCATTTGGTTATGGGCAATAGATTATGAGCAGTAATCTGTAGATTATGGGCAGTAATCTGTATATTATGGGCTGTAATCTGTAGATTATAGGCTATAATCTGTAGATTATGGGCAGTAATCTGTAGGTTATGGGCTATAATCTGTAGATTATGGGCTGTAATCTGTAGATTATGGGCAGTAATCTGTAGATTATGGGCAGTTATCTGTAGATTATGGGCAGTAATCTGTAGGTTATGGGCAGTAATCTGTAGGTTATGGGCAGTAATCTGTAGATTATGGTCAGTAATCTGTAGGTTATGGGTAGTAATCTGTAGATTATGGTCAGTAATCTGTAGGTTATGGGTAGTAATCTGTAGATTATGGGCAGTAATCTGTAGATTATGGGCAGTTATCTGTAGATTATGGGCTGTAATCTGTAGATTATAAGCAGTTATCTGTAGATTGTGGGCAGTAATCTGTAGATTATAAGCAGTTATCTGTAGATTGTGGGCAGTAATCTGTAGATTATGGGCAGTAATCTGTAGATTATGGGCTGTAATCTGTAGATTATAAGCAGTTATCTGTAGATTATGAGCTGTAATCTGTAGGTTATGGGCAGTAATCTGTAGATTATGGTCAGTAATCTGTAGGTTATGGACAGTAATCTGTAGGTTATGGGCAGTAATCTGTAGATTATGGTCAGTAATCTGTAGGTTATGGGCAGTAATCTGTAGATTATGGTCAGTAATCTGTAGGTTATGGGTAGTAATCTGTAGATTATGGGCAGTAATCTGTAGATTATGGGCAGTAATCTGTAGATTATGGGCAGTAATTCATAGGTTATATGTAAATAATGGACAGTAATCAGTAGTCTGTGCATTATGTTCCGTTCAAATGTTTTAGCTGACAATTTAATCAGATTTTTTTTCTTACTTTAATGTAATGTTGTTATAGTGTTCGAAAGAAAGATGAAAGTATATCATCTAGTGTGCTCCATGTATAATGAAGCTGACATCACATTTTCCGTAGATGCTAACATGTACGTGTTTATGAACAGGTCATCTAGTCAAGACCTCAAGCCTACGTGGATCCTGTTCAAGATTTCAAGAAGTTTTTCTAACGCTGTTACTGGACAGATAATTAAAGAAATATATCAATGACAAATCTTCAATATTAAACTTTGAATTCCTGAAATCGTATTTTAGTTGCTGTTTCTTGATTTAGTTTTATTCACTGAATGTTGTTTTCTATTAAAGGGTTAAATTACGATTCACATGTAAGCCTATATAGTTGTTTTTTGCCTCCAAATTTTGTACTACGATCACTTAATATATTTGTTTGTGGCTACAAACATCTTGGAAATGAATCAGACCGTTTGCATGGTTCTCAAAAATCTTAATAACACAACTTTTAATAAAACAATCTTCGTCTGTATATACCACTAGTTAATAGTTTAATTGTTTACTGAAATCCCTCACGAAAAACATTCAATGTAATGATTAGATGTGAACTGATTTTCTGTTGTACATTATTACCACAGGTTTTGTCAAAATAAAAAAAAAACGTCACTACAAGTTTGAAAATTGTGATAGATTACCTGTGGGTCGGCAGCTTTAAATTATAATTACTAATATTTATAAAATATCACATAGCCACACACACACACAAAAACGCATTGACAAGTTCTCTTGCTTAAATTTTTTATTCTAACTTCAAGCACACATTATAAAATGAAAAAAAAAATTCAATTCTCGAATCGCTAAAGACATACTCGCGTTTATAAAATTAAAAAAGTACAAAATCGCAGCATTATTATACTGGCGCTAAAAATAAGACTAGAAACTATGTAGTGAAACCTCGACACTTCAACATCTGAAGTGTACAAGCTCAGGCATCATTGCAATATATCTGTGAATTCAAAAATACCATCTTTAATATGTGTATGTATTGTTAAATTTGACATAGTGAATTTTCTAATTTTGTTATTATCTAAACTTAAAGCAAAATATTAATTTGTTTTATTTGGGAAAAAAACAATAGTTTTTATTTAAAAATATAAATTATTTACTTTAATTAATATCAGTTTATCACCAATCTATAAAAATTAAACAATCATAACGATAATTATAAAAAAAAACAACTTTATACAAGATTTAAAAGCAAAAATAAAACAAAGTTATAGTATGTAAATTACGTATAAATATCTCACCTTTGAAACTCAAGTTCTGAAATATGGTTATCTCGGTCAAGGTCAGTCTGATCAAACATAACATCAATGTCAGTCATGTCAACAATTCCTTTTTTATCTTTATCCATGATGTCAAAAAGATTTTTGAGCATAACTTTGGTTTCTGGGTTGGTGTGGTGGGTATCTACCCAGTTGTCAAACTCCATTTTCGTCACTAGACCGTCCTTGTCCAGATCCTTTTCCTGTATGGTTAAATAGTTAGGTATTAAATAATATTATGTCCATTTATAATCTTTGGTCATCACAAAAATAGTTATTTATTTTCGATAACAATATATAGTGCAAAGCAAACACAGATGTCACTTACAAATAGCTTAAAAACCATCTCAGATTTTGAAACGAGACCGTCAACATTAGTGTCTAGTTTTGTGAAGATGATTGGAGTGATAGATCCCACGCCCATTCCAGTCATAGATCGGACGCCCATTCCAGTGGTAAATGTTGAAATGCAGCCATCGTGTCTTGTTACGTATCTAATAGATTAAAAAAAACCTTTATAATTGTAATTTAAAAGATTAACTATACAATAAGGAAAAAGAAAACTATCGCTTAAACAGGGTTGATATTTAATTAAATAGTGTAAACAACAACTTAAGCAGTGTTGATATTTTATACTAACGTGATGAATTCCTCCTCAGAAATCAGGCCATCTTTGTTGGTGTCAGCCTCAACATGGACGGTTTCAATGTCACTGGTGTCAAGGACTCCATTTTTGTCTTTGTCCATCATGTCAAAAAGATTCTTTAGCATTACTTTTGTATGAGGCTCAAGTCCTTCAACGTCAGCCCAGGTTTCATACTCGCCCCATGTCACAATTCCGTTTCCATCCTGGTCCTTTGTCTGATTAGGAAACATTGGTTATAAATTGTAATGTTAAAAAATGTATAGCTATAAACTAATGATTTCTATGTAACTTTCAAATGGAATTATTCAACGATTTTACTTAGTTTATCTTTGTAAAAACGAATCAAATTCAAACCAAAGAACATTATAAATTATTCGTATTTTAATTTTAATTGTTTTAAGTAACTTAAACTGCTTATTGAAGCAACAAAGACATAATCGCATTATGAATATATTAAAAATTTACAATCAGTGTATTCTCCATCTCGGTTTTTGACACAAATCCATCACCGTTGACGTCCATCTTTAAAAACCATTGCAGAGGCTGCATTTCAACGGTCATTCCGAGTGTCATGGTCGGGAATTGAAACATTTTCTTAACAATGTATCTACGAAAACAAATTTAATATTTGTCAGATAAAACGATTTTTAGATATTTCAATAGGTTAATTTGTACTGCTTTGATAGATATATTATAACTATCGAAAGAAAAAAAGAATGGATTTTCGTTTTATTAATTTACAAAATGTTTGCATATTTAGAAAAAAAGATTTCAACACTTTAAAAAAGAAATAGACAACATACTTTTTATATTCTTCCTCGGTAACAACGCTATCACTGTCAGTGTCAATTTCGTAGAAAATGATGTCAATGTCTTGTTTATCCAAAACTCCATTTCCATCTTTATCCAAGTCATCGAAATGTTTCTCGAGAACAATTTTCGTCATCATTTCTGGTTGTTCTACATCAACCCATTGTTCGTATTCGCCTTTGGTCAATGGTCCACTCATCGTTGTGTCTTTCTCCTGATTTAATGTTAAAAAGTTGTCACATTTATTTTTGTTTAAATCTGTGAATTAGAAACTCGATTTACTTAATATATTTCAAGAGGAAATTACTTACAAAAAACTTAATTTCCATTTCAGGTTTTGAAATTAGCCCGTCGCCATTGATGTCCATTTTTTTAAAGGATTGAGATGCCAGAATGATAACTTTCATTCCCAAGGTCAAGGCAGGGATATGATACAATTGTTTGGAGATGAACCTAATATTGATGTAGATATTTTAGCTTAAGTAATGCAAGTACATGTTTGCAAACTAAATGCACGGAATAGCTAAATCAATTATTTTATTATTTTAAACTTCGCTAAATTTTCTTCTTCATATTAACAGGAATTATATACACTCAATGAGATCAGTTTGCATATCTATAAAAACAAAAACAAATTTACTTTTTATATTCAGTCTCAGAAACCAAGCTATCTTTGTTTTTGTCAATCTCATCAAAGATGACTTCAATATCTACAGTGTCCAAAACACCGTTCTTGTCTTTATCCAAGTCATCAAAGTGGGTCAATAAAACTCTTTTGGTTTGGGGATCAAAGCTGACAACGTCAACCATGCGTTCAATATCAATTTTAGTTATTGGTGTCTTCACGCCCCAAACCGCTCCCTTAAGGAATATGGAGCACAAAATATTTATTTAAAAAAAAACAATAACTAAAACTAATTACTAATATAAACATAATCTTTGAAGTAAAATTTATTTAAAAAACTTTTAAATTTAATATTAATTTTATAAAAATTTCCAGAAAGTATTGCTATTTTCTAATACACTTATTCTGATTGTTTTTAAAAACATTTTAGTCTATAGCTTAATTTCATCGATATGAAATTTTAATTCATAACCAATGACACCCATAGAACTAATGGCTAAATATGCTATCTTCAACTAGTCCCTAGAAATGAAACTACTTACAAACATTTTTTCAACAAGCTCAGGTTTGGAAATGAATCCGTCATTGTTGATGTCCATCTTCTTAAATGACATGATAGTCATGAGTTTGAGTTTCATTCCCAAAGTCAACATTGGAACGTCAGGCATGATCTTAGTACTGTAGCTAAAAATGATGCAAACTGAATATGTATTGCACAATTACATTTATAATATGGTAACTGCCTTTTTCTAAAGTTTATATATTAAGAATATTTTATGAACGATTTCAGTGATTTGAAAAATTAAACAAATAATACCTCAGATATTTATCGCCATAGAGACTTGTGTCAAGACCGGTAAAATCCTTATCAAACAACATCCCATGGTGAGTACTATCTAAACCACCGTATTTGTGTTTGTACGACTGTTCCAGGAGGTTCCTTAGGTACATGTTTGATAAAGGGCTGTAGGATTTTGTATTCTCCCGGCTAAGAACATCATATTTAGTCAGTGGATTCAGCCAGCTGCCATACTTATCCTGGATTTGAAAAAAAAATGGTTGAAGTTTATATTTTACTTAATCTAAATGCGCTATGTATTAATCTTTATGCCTCAATGTGTAACAAGAATTATTGCAAAAAATTCAAACAATGCTTACTCCCCATCCAAATATTGGGCTCTCATATTTTACCACTGGATTCATCATGCTTGCATATTTATTCTGAAAATAAATATTATATTTTCATATACGTTTGTTAATCGTGTGGAACGTGATACTTTTAACTATGTTCTTATTTTGATATTTTGATTTTAAAACAATCAAATATTTAAAAAAAAAATTACCCCCTATTTTTGTAATGATCTTCTATATTTAATTAATTGAGTCAGCAAATTGTTTTATTTTTAAAGGAATAAAATTAATACCACATCAGAGAATAACTTTTTAAAAAGTACCATAAGGCTTTTAAACTGTTCAAGACTTTTGAATATTCGAATAAAATTCACATAGTAATTTTAATCAGCAGTCATGTGATTGAAATAAAAAAGAGAACTACTTACTCCCCATCCATGTACTGATCTATATGAGAGACCACCAGGGTAAATACCCGTCATACCCACATATGGTGGATAGAGTCTATCCACATACCTCCCTACGCAAAGGGCAGGTAGGACGAGAAGAAGAGAAAATGCTGCAAACATTTCTGGGGTAAATCTGTGGAAGAAAAAGCAAAAAAAAAGTAAATTTTTTTTGTAATAGTATAATATATTTAATTTTAAACGAATATAGAGCTTTCATTCTGACTTGGTGTTTCAATAATGATATAAAACATTATCTGAATAAAATAGCACAACCGTTAAATGTTTTTATAACGTTATTATAAAAAATATTT